ATATATATATATATATATATATATATATATATATATATATATATCCAACATTCTATAGGGCTGTATTATAAAGAGGAGTGAAATGTATTGTAAAATTAATTTAGCATTTGCTATCGGTATTCGTATAATTCGAAAAATCAGTCGCGTTTAAATATGCATAAAAATGTATAAAGAAGATGTTAAAAATAAATAAAACAATACTAAACTATTTTATTCATAATTATCTGACATGGAAGAATGTTAACACTTGTACGACTAAGCGAAATTTCCAAAATGATCTTGTGAAAATTATATTTTAAACCCTTTGGAAAACATTCAGTTTCAACAAAAAAATGTTTAGTAAATAATTATTCACAAACCTTATCAACGTATCTTGAACATCGATTCACAAGAGCATAACGCACGATGTACTGGACTCGGAAACTGAAGTTTACCTGTAAAAGAAACATAATTGCAAATACTAATTCAAAATTCTAATAATGAGGGATTTTGAGTGTGATTCAAACAATATTAACAGATTTACCAAGTGCAATAATTTATTGAATCTATACTAATTAAATTTTCTGATTATCTAAATGTAATTCCAGTATTCTATTTTCTTATGAAGTAGTAATCGAACATGTAATAGCTCTCGTATTAATTTTGTGGACAATTATATTATTATTATATTGTTTTGACAATTTCATGAATTAAGTAATTAATATGATTAATTGTAGATCTGTTTAATTGAAATTTTGACGAGAAGCGAAGGTAGAGGACGGGAAAACAACAAAGCATCATTATATTTCTCCATCCACGTGAAAAGGCAAAACGTATAATGTACAAAGCACCATATATCATAATTTAAATATAATATGTTTTAACCCCTTGTGGCATTCAAAGGCATTATTTGAGCGTTTCTTTAGATTTTGGGAGTTTTGTCTCAAAAGAATGTGTACATTGAATGATGTACATATAACATCAATCGACCTGACATGTTCAATACCATTAGAGCATCCACCGCATTAGAGCAACACTAAATCAAATGGCCCTCAATTACAAACGACACAAGCAACGCCAGGTACCCAACCTTCCACCCTTCGTGGCACACTGGCCCCAGCTCAGTCCAAAGGGGTCGAAAGAAAAATACATCAAATTATCATTAGACATAGATGACCAAATCCGACCCTAAAACGCATTTATCTACGATTGGGTGTGTATGTTCCATTAGTGCTCTTTTGAGAGTGATTTTATATAACTACAAATCATGCCGTAGGGGATCACGACAGAATGTTCGATCCTCTTAAAAAGTTTTTAGACAAAATATCTTTTCGTATGACATTCCAAAAATTGTTTCATTGCTCTGTTACAATTCCAAATAATGCGTTTGGGAATGTGAGTTATCCTACAAACGTCAAGATGTTATGTATTTAAAACGTTGATTTTAAGACAAACTATACTCGACTCCGGTTATAGTGAACTAGTATATAGTACACACTCGGCTGTAGTGAATCTAAGTCATAGGTCCTGTTTCATGTACATTACCAATAAGCATAAGAAAATTCGGTTATAGAGTACACTGAGCTTCGTTAGAGTGAACGTAGAAAATATATGTCCTGGAAATTAATATAAGTGTGCTAGAGAATGAATGCTACAGAATGAATGAACGTTATGTTCGACTTCACACTTTCACGTTTTTACATAAGTGTGCAAATACCGTTTTCAAATGAATGTTACACACAATGTATTCAAGTTAATTTACACCTTATTCACATAAACATACAAATCAGTCCGCTTTTAATATTAGATTCGCATGCAACGCTAGATTCCCACTAAAACAATTGATAGAGCAATTGTAGAAGTACAAACAAATACAAATTAGACTGAGATTGTAGTTTTAATCTTTTCAAAAATTAGAAGAGACAAATATAGACGTTTTAAGTAAATACGGGGATGAATCAAATACAGTTGTAAACAATGCTGCGACAAAATTTTCGGTCCTAATTGGGAATTTTTGCATTAGCATTTGTTCTCTTGCAAATGTGCTATATGCATACTGTGCATATTAGCACAAACACGTAAAAATGTTCCTGTACTAAAATTTAACTATTAGCATCAAACCTGCAAGTATTTGTTAGGGCGATTATGAATATGAAATTGCAATACGTTCAGTTCACAATCCGTATGCACCCGCAAGGAGGTACAAGGCCATTGGGCGTTGGGAACTTTTGAACGGGAGGGTAACATTCATTGGTAAGTTCAATGCCAGGTGCAGAAAAAAAAACATATTAGAACAAATGTGGGCAGGAAAGGAATGACGTAAGAAAGACATTTAAGCGCACGAAACCATTTTTAAAACAATCTGCAGCAATATTTAACTGCTTCGCTACCTTGGGGAGTTGGGCCCTCTGTTCGCCGTCCCGGAGCCAGGCGCCCGCCACGCGCGGGCCCGCGACCGACTTCGCAGGTTAGCAAACTAATTAAGGGCATGATTAACGGAACGCGCGTCCGCTTATCTGCACTAATGGGATGCGCCACGCGCCGCCCCGCGGACCCCCTCCCACCGCCGCCACCGCCCACGTCGCCCGCCCCGCGCCGCCCACCTCCAACTGCGCGCTGGTGGGCGAATGTTTGGTTGGGTGTTGCAGAATGCTGTGTGGAGCAAAGGGGTCGGTGGGGCATCTTTTTCCTAGTTTTTTCGACTCTCTTACAGGGGCAGACTTTTGACATTGCCTTCCCTGTGCTCCGGTGAACAAGAGTAAAACATACTAAAAGACAATGGATTATATTTGTTGCATTGGGCCTGAGTTGGTCTTTTTAAAGTTAAAATTATCAGATATTTTACTATCTCAGAATGAATAGTGTAGCTTGTTTAGATAGAGTGCACTTATTCCTGTCGTTCGTAAGCAATGGTCGATATTAGTCACATCTAACTAAATTTAGTGAATGTCTCTGCGGACAATCGGCCTCGTAGCACTGATGTATCATCAATTTAAACCTTACAATAAATGAGAGTAATACACTAAGGTCCTTTTTGGGAATCCTAGAAATCTAAACTTTATTTAATGAAGTGTCATTTGAAACATTCCTGGGGAAAATTGGCATGTAAGTTTTAAAATAATATACAATATCGTAATATTTTATTTTGTATTAACGAAACAGAGAGAGACCACTAAGACAGTAGGCCCGTTGTGTTCTCGGGCAGGAAGATTGCGGGTTCGAGTCCCGCCTCAGCCACGGGTGTGTTTGTGTATGTCTATATGTATGTGATGACTTTTCACCTCTCACTATCATCATCATTTTATCTTCCATACATCTTGAGTTAACAACTCTGAGGGATAAAAATCGGATCTCGGTAAATGCTGATCCCATGATAAAGTACAAGCACCTGCCATAGATATAATGTTACTGAACCCCGGTAAATGAAGGGTGCATGCGCCGCGGTTCAAGTCGGCCTCTTCGCGGGCAAAAGAAACCAGTAGGCGAAGGGGAAGGGGTTGAAGGGGTTGATGAGTTGCGGGTTGAGTGGGAGGCAAGCAGCGGTGGTGGCAATGGTTCGGAGTGGCAGTGCTTGTAATTGGAATCAGGAGAATTTATGATAGTTACACTTTCTCCGTTTACAATTGATATTTTAAATTTCTTGTAGAAGAAAGCACTTTTGCTTCACTACCTTTTAGCTGCACTTAAAATTGCAGTTGTCAGTTATGAAATATAATCGTACTGGAGTCTAACAGATAATGATTTATAATCATAAAGATGAATTTAGATAAATTGTAAATAGATTGTGAACTTTCATAAACATTTCAAAAATTTTGTTATTATTGTTCGTCTGACTGTTTTGGTGTTAAAAAATACCAAGAGGAAAACTGAAATTCTTCCGCGCGCGAGCGATGACCTTCCACACGGTGTACCCCAGGGCGACTTCCGTGACTCCCTGCGCGTGGAACGTAAGCGCACTGGTGGAACTCGGAGGCGCCGAACCCCCTTTATGCAAAATGAAAAAAGGGCAGGCACGTAGGCGGGCGTTGACGTCCCGTTAGCACCGTGCACCGTTCATTAATTGCGAAATTGCATTCCGCAGATGACAATACGCCGCACGCGCCGGCCTTTGATCTGCGTGGCGCGTAGAGTGGGGGTGCGGGGAGTGGAGAGGCGTGCGGCCGAACGCCGGAAGTGGAATCGAAATGCGAGCCGAGAGAATCGGAATGTTGGTGAGAGTGGAATCCTGGTGGGTGTGCGGGAGTAGGGAAGAGAATAAAGTTGTTCGGGAATGTGAACGAAGATACGCGAAGGAAAGGCGAAAAGGAAAATTTAGCGGAAAAGATGTAGTATTGGAGGAGTGGGGTAAAATGAAATGATGGCAAATTTGGGTTTTAGAGAAGTTGTTTGTAGTCGCTGTCATTGCTACTTCTGGTCTATTGATACAACCTACTAATGTATTGTTATTAACTCGTTTTTTGCTGTTTGGCCATTGCATCTTTCATTTAGCCTGAACGGCTGATTGTGATTAATATGCAGTTTTATTATCATTATTATTATGAAGAATATTAATAATGAATTGTTCATAAATTGATTCAATTCCCACAATTTCTTTGGTTTGCTTTTACCATCTTTTTCCCCCTCCACTCCACCCTAACGCAATTTAGTTTTCTCTCCCACCCTCTTGCTCCTGTTACTTTCACTCTTTCTCCTCCTTCGCCTATCTTTTCTTAAATTCATCTTACTCTTTTCTCTCTTATAGGGTGTCCGGGGAGGAAACGTCGAAACTTCGAAAATAAGCTCTTAAGACTCGCTCTTTACAGAAAAAAAAACAGAAATTAAAAAGCAGTCGAATTGAGTAAATTGAGTGCTTTTTTTATTTGTGTTAATTTTCTTTCTGAACAAATATATTGATTTTCGTTTGTAAATAATAAACAACTTACAGGTTTCTGGGGTGTTTCTAGGCTTCTGCAATGCAACTTTTTGCCTAGAAAGCCTATTATTATACCAACTTTTGAGTGCTTATTGCGACTCAACCATTTGAAATATTCCAGTACTTTATTAAACAAAATATACTTACAATTATCTTAAGAACTTATTTGCAACGTTTCCTCCTCGGACACCTCTATATAGCTCTTTCTCCAAGTTTGCAGGTGACCTTGATGCTGACCTTGCTGACGGCCGGCATTAAATACAATTTTTATGATTTTTTTATTTGTAAATATTTAACTTATATCCTTGCGCAATGTAGTAAACAGAGCGGGTGTACTCGCAGAACCTTCGTTGTGATACAGCGAGAGAAATGTAACTGAACTAAGGAGAAATGCCGAAACTGTAGTAGAAAATCTCTGAATCGGGTAAATCATACTTGAAGTGAATTGACAGTATAAGCAGAAGTAAAAAAAATAAAGAGTTAGATTGCAGTTATGAAATTGAGCTTCTTTGTCGCGAAGGCACTCAGAAACAAAGTTAACGAAAGCACAGTATTTTTTTAAAAGCATTGCTGTAGCACACTTATTGCTAATGAACGTTCTTGCGCCAAAGAGTGAATTTCGCAAAGCAGGTTGACATAGACTTTCGAATAAAAACTCTCAAGTATTAGTAAAATATGTCTGGATATTTAGTTTCTCGAAAGTATTTCTGAGAATTCAAAAATCTGTATTTCAATTTTTAAAAACGCGAAGTTAACACAAACGCAATTAAGGTTTCCTCTTATTTTGTGTAATTTATTTTAATTTCATGTAATAGTACGTAATTTCAAAGAATAAAAACATTGTAAACAATTTACTCCATAGGTTGAGTTATGAGAATATCTCTACATACTCGAGTTTTAATAAGCTATCGTAGTATTTTGAAAGACGTATAAAAGTGTGTTTTTTAACTTAACTTAACTTTATATTTCTTCTTGGATGTAATATTTATTTATTTACATATTTCTTTAAAATCACTTTATAACTAACGTCATTAGCGACCAATGTTGTGTTAAGGGTAAGTAACATTTTAAATATTTGATGTAACACACATTGGATACAATTCACATAAACAAATAATTACGAGTTACAATAACTGTAATTTATTTATAGAAAGCAGATATTTTAAAAGATATTACTAATTTTCAGCCTTCAACTGAATACAAATTTTCGAATAGATCATTTTAATATTAATAGTTCTTATATTTTGAATATTTGAACCTATTCGGATGTGACTAGTAGATAGAATTCTTCCACATTCAGGGTAGATATGTGGATATGTTATCTTCACTAGACAGCTTCACTAGACAGCAAGAAAGAAGTGGTTAATTCTAAATCTTTTAATAATTATTTGTTTTCTCCTCCTTATATTAGTAATAGGGAGAGTTAAATTTGTAATTGAGTTTCTTACAAAATAGAGTTAAGATAGTAAAGCTTTCCACTTTTTTCCTTTTATGTGTAATAAAATACAGAACAATAGGAAGATAGAGCATCAGGACATTAATTATTTTGTGAAATGCGTTAATGTATCAAAAGTCAGTACAAAGGATACTGGTGGCATAAGGATGCTTTATGTGCGACTTAAGTCACAATGTTAGAATTGCATTGATTAATTATTCAATTGACATTGAGTATTAATTTATTAGCTTTTTTCTTATGGTATTTGTACTTTTGAAATTTTATTTCCATTTAAAGGAAATATATACTCCAGTTTTCATTAAAGCATTTTTTATTATAAAAAATATAAGTTTGAGATCAAACAAAATGTTAAAAATTATTATCGCATATAACATCATTGTAAATGAGTTATTGTGACTTTGTAGCATTTTGCACGAAAATTGAAACAGCGCTTGTTGCAGCATTGCAGGCGAGTCGTCTTCTGGCATTTTGTACGAACTGCCAGAGCGCATCTGCCCTGGAACAAGAAGGTTTCACGGCGCTTGTGTGCCGAGGCTCTGGTTGCATAGCGTGCGCTTCGAACATTGCTGAAATGCCACAGCGCTCATGGGGACATGGGGCGAAGACACAGCGCGGAGCCCGCGGAGGTCGGGAGGAAGGGGGCGACTGAGACGCAAGCTACACCGGGGCCCGGGACATTCCACAGTTCTATGCAGAACCACTCCGTCTACCTCCTTGTTCCCTATCACAAACATCCCTTCATACACACCTACACTGGCATGCCCACACACACACACATCCCCTCACTGTTACACGGACACACACACAACACGAGAGCCCTAGTTGCAATGTCTATCGAAATATGAAGCAACAAAAAACCGAACGATCCAAAACTAGGGAATTTTCGTTGTTTCTGGAAATTTTTTTCGGGACAATAGGACATAACTCTCGTATTTTATGGAACGTATACAAACTCTGCACTCTTTTCTGCCTCACATGTCTTTTGTGTCCACATGAAATGTCTGCAAATATGTTCCTGTAATAATCGCAGTAGTTCATAAATCGCATTTCAATTATCGTCAATTTTCGATCTTTTTGTTTCACCGTTTGCATTTTAGTAGTTTCCAAGAGCAATCCGGATATCGCCTCTCTTTTCTGTATTTGGTTCACTCTGTCAATAATAGCACATTGTGCATAGTTGAAGGGACTAGTCCCAAAGGCACTTACTCTATAGAGCAGGACTACTGTGAGAGAGTATACAGCTCACAAGCGTACAAACAGTAAGTGAATATTAGCCGGAATCTCGTTTGCTCCCAGGAGTGTTGCATTTAATTGAATATCCATCGGCTCAGTATTGATTGGGCGATTATCAATTCTCTTTAATATCAGATACCGGAATTACTTCCAGATGTGCCATACAAACAATCGAGGCTCGATTAAAACATTTGCAATTCGCTGCACCGGGTAATTTGTTTGAATTTCTTTCTTTCATCGTAAAATAGTAATTTATTACAAAGTGTCGTTAACCAGAATTATATACAAATATTCAATACATACGCAGAAAACTGTCGTGATTGGCAGGTAGTTAAATAAAAATGTGAAAAAAGGTGAAAAAAGGGATAGGAAGAAAAAATATTAATGGGAGGTTCTAATCCAAATACATGGGTTTAATCACGTAATGATTGAGAACTATTTTTCAGACCTCATTCACTGAAAGAATTTTAAGTTTAGAAAAATATATCAAATATACTGAACATACTGAACATCAGAAATGTATATAGAAAACCATTTTCGAGAGGGGTTTTGGCAATATATAATAAATGTGTAGAGGAAATCGAATACATGGAAACAAAATAGAACAGCAGTACAAGACTATACTATTAATAACAGAAAAGCTGAAAATAAAACGCGATTTGTGATCGTACCACGACACAGTAATTTGCACGAGAAGGCGCGAATTATTTGTACAAATTTTATATGGTTTTATGAAGCCTTTATCTGAGACTTCTTTACCATTATTTAAACGGCGAATAATATTGTCTCAGAAAGGGAAGTTAAGAATGTTGCCATATTTATGTTGACTCCGGAAAATGTTAAAAAACTGTATAATTGATTTTACAAATTTGTTTTCTAACCATAATGAAAACTTGTATTTGTTACTGATATGTTCGCTTTCTACAAATGTGATTGTGTTCCATGATACGTGTTATAGAGTAGGTTCCTTCCTTATCAACCTACGCGAGGAGCTACGAGTGTCTAAATTTCCTGACTAACTAGTTCAATCAAGAATATGAAATGATTCATAGATTGCGCTATTATATATTGACCATATGCCCCCAAATCCAAAACAACTTTTTGGTGGTTTACAAAAAAACTGAATAATCGCACAAACTTTATAAATATATCACTTAAGAGGTTTATAAATGAGGAGTGAATAATTGAGTATTTAATGCTTCTGGTCACCTCATCTTTAGGTCACTAACTAACTAACCTGGTCATTAGTCACGTGGGTATAATAGCGTGGGTATAATAGCATAGAGAGAGGGAACAATAGTGTGAAAGGGAAGGACAAGTGCGGTTCAGGATGTTTCAGTATTGTTTTAAGTAGCAGTAAAGTATATATTACGGAACAAAGATGTTATCCTACTTTTGTAAGACGATGGCACGGTAAAGAAAACACTTGTGCTATGCGCCAGAGGCAAGACCAGATTAACGCGTTTTTTGGCGCCACGCATGACTAAATAATGTAACAATTTAACAATTTTATAATATTAAACAAAAAAATCAGTATGAGAGAGAACATTTTCTACAATATTTTCAACGTTAAAAATGAATACGAAAATATTTTACATAATTATAATAAACTATGATAAACGTTTGTTTAAAACCTTCATGGGGGTACCAATCCGGTCAGGGCCTAGCATATACTTGTTGTGTTAATCCACCCTTTGCAGCAAGAGTTGCTAGCATGAGAGGCCACTAACACCAGAGGTAAAGAGGTCCGCGCAGGGCGTTGACACCTCGCACATCCGTCGTGGTGGGCGGGGATGGGGAACGCTATAGGGCGAAAAGGTGCAGCAACGGCGATATTGCAGGAGATCACAGGCGGTGCTAACTGTTCGCTTCATAAAAGGCGACAGAGGTGGCTTCGGTGACGATGATTGATAGAAATTTAAGGACGCGTCCATCTCTATGTTGAGACCCGTCCGTGATGGATTATTTTAAAAGCCCTTTGGGAATCGTTAAATTACCTTCATTCAATACAATGTAGAAAAGGATAAAAAACTTTACTCGATAATAAATCTTACAGAAGATAACAATTGTAGAATGGTGCATTTTGAGGACATGTGCAAGCCATGCTCCCTCAGATGTAATGATGTAATCTTATTTCTTTCAAAAAGGCGAAGGGGAATTCAGAACGACGGCTACTCATTACCTCTTGTAGAGAGCCGGCCACATGTCTTCCGGGGATTCCATCGACTGCCCTACAATAAAAGAGTTTTCCTCCAGGCTCTGGCAATGTTCGCAACGGAGGTGATGTTAGGGTCCATGGCAATGACATCTGTGAAAGAGGCAATGGCGCAGTGGCGGACTCTGTGATCATTATTAATTGAGTGTTAGTGAGTCCGGGCGAGTCAAATAGTTGGGTCATTAGTCCTGTAAGTGTAGAGCATGATTTTGCTCGGGAGGTGGCGGAGGTCATCCCCTGCTGTATACGTAGGGAGATCCGGCGCCGACCTACCGTCGGGTTCCCCAACCAGGTATCTCCCATCAAGGTCTCAATGGGGGAATGCTCTAAGCTGCTCCAGGCATGTGCGGTACTGTAGAATAAGGGTGTGTTGAAGGGGATAGGATAGGAGAAGAGGAAGGAAAGATCGCGCGCGACCCGTGGTACGTTTGTTAGGGTAATGCTCCGGCATTCGCCTGGTGTTGATTAGAGCAAAAAACACGGAAAAATACCGATCAGAAAAGCCAGCCACTACACTTATCCTTCAGACAGCGACTTAATTCGACCAAGCTGACAAGCTAGTGTCGGACATCCTGCCATTGTCGGGACTCGAACCTTAGGACCTCCCAGTCAGAGGGACTGCATTGACATCAGTTGATGCCCTGAGCCATCTCTGCCGGTGGCTTCGTGGTAAAGGTTGCCGGTATTGGCGAGAGCAGTGTCTGCAGTATGAGTACCGTTCGAAATGTGAAAGGGACTGCAGGGACAGCGAGGAAGAAGTTATTTTAGGATGGCTTTGAAGACTATTGTTGACTTAGTACAGAGAACAAGGTGAATCGAGAATTGAATATAGCAGTAAAAATAGTCGTTAGTTACGAGGATTAAGGTAAGTGATACAAATACGACCAGTGCAGGTAATATGGTCAAGTCGCGGTCAAATTGTTACTTGAAAAAGTTTGTCACAGACAGTACTGGCACGCTGTCTGGGAGAGCGCAAAAACAGCGGTATCCCCATACCAGACTTGTTGACTCGCGCATTCGCACTCTGGAGCCTCCATTGACAAGAAAGTGCGGAAAACGCTCTGTCCTTATAACTTCTTTCCAAATAATTTTATCATTAGCTACATTTACAGAAAGATTCCATACTTTGACTATATACATCGTGTAGCGCATTTAATGAGAAATCTAATTAGATTAATGATGTTAAATTTGCTCAATATCTTACTAACGTGGGAGAGATGTTATAATATGTTGTTTTGGCTGTCAATATGGCCGAGAGTGATGGGCATATTACCAGCACATACGGCCATATTAACTTCATTCTCCAGCAATAAACTTTCGCGCTATTGTTTTAAAAATGAATTTAGTTTCAACTAGTACATCAGACGACGTTCAAAACAATCCATCAACTTCCAGACGAAATAATAAAGATGATCAGCTGGTAAAGAAAAGGATACACCTGACAAGAAGAAACACGTTTCTATGAAGAAAACCCAACACAAGATATAAACACTGGAGGAAACAAATCCTGTAGAAAAAATGAGAAAAGCTAGTAATGTTTGCTGTGAAGAGGCAGAACATGCGTCGATTTAGTGTTTGTGGGAAATATGTATACGAAGGAAGTGTAGAACTAAATATTAAAATACAGGAACTTTCAATTATCTTCAATGTCAAACTGATTAAAACTTTTCGGCACGTTTTCAAGCGAACGCTGATATTTTCATTCAATTTGTTATGAGTAACTTAAATCTTCTCAGGCCGTATTTTTGTAAAATTAGACTATAGGAGGGTAATTCATATTACATAATAGTATAGCTCGCCCTACTTCCATGGTCCCTCCAAGAAACAGGTTAATCTGCCAATTGCCAAAAAACCTGCATGTGGGCATATTACCTTCATATTGCAATGTTTTTGGTAAAAACAACAAATATTCCCTGAATCACCTTTTTGTATATAGCTGTTTCAATTGGAAGCAAAAATGTTAAATTCATCATGATGTTTTGTTAGTTTGGCAATGAAATATATATATATTATATATAATCATATATATTATATATAATACATATATATTATATATATATATATATATATATATATATATATATATATATATATATATAGACAGAAGAATTTGAGGCTCTTTACGTGGCCATACTACCTTCACATAATTTAGGAAATTTAGGAAGAGAAGCGGAGGAGAAGAAAACGGATAAGAGTGAGGAAAGGACAGGGAATGGAACAGCGGATAGGACAGAGGATAGGACAGCGGAGGGGACAATGGAGATTTGTGGGGACAGCGATGAGAGAGTAGGTAAGTTTTCGAGAAAAACTTAGAGGAGAGCCGTGAAAAACAAGTACATGCGTGAGAGCAACGTCAGAGATGCGCACAGATTGGAGAAACCCATGACTACAGCAAAGACAGCCATGATTACGACGAGGATGACGACGTGAAGGATAAGGACAACGATGAGAAGAATAATAGAACAACGGTTGGGCCAGCGACAGCGGAGATAACAATGATCTGGCTTTGGACAACACGGCGGAGACAGCGGCTGCAGTGAGGACTAAGTTATTTCAGTGACTGCAGGGGGTGATGAGGGCAGTGGGGTGATGGAACGGTGGCTGGAGGGAGCGGGGACGGGGGTGAGGGTGAGGGCGACGCCCTCGACGGGAGCCCGCGTGCAATCGGCCGGCGTTGAGTTATGGACGCTCTCATTTTTATACCCGGGATGCATTGCTTTCCAATATATACCGCGTGTCAAATCGCGTGTAATTCACATGCAGTGGGGAGGGGCGGGATAGACGATACGGAATAGTGCAGCCACCTGTCAGTCTTCTGAAACGGCGTTCTGACATTTTTGATGTGTAATTGGAAATCTTTTTTCTCGGGTTCAACAACGATATCATTTATCTACGGACATTAATGTCCTGTTGTTCATAAATTTCGCCGGTCACTGTAGACACTACGTTTGTTTGGATGAATGTTGGTTCTTTCCTCGTAAATTACCGGGTGAAGGAACTTGCGGGTGACAAAAACGTTTATCAGCGAATTATTAATAAATCGCTAATGACTTATGGGCAATAAACTTTTATTAATTAGTAAAACAAACGGTTGCAATACGAGAAAAATGTAATTATCCTTCCCTTGCAATACAGGATAGTTTAACTGTTCGATTAAACCTGTTCATCGTAATATATATTTTTAAATTTTCTTCACAAATATCGACTTTCTGAAGAGGTATATATTAATGAACCGTCAAATATGCTCTTTCCACCACTCCCTCTCAATTAAAAAAAATCGTCATAAAAGTATAAATAATAGAATGAAAATTGAATTTATTAATGAATTATATGTATTCAGAAGTTTCAAACCAAATCACAAATCTATTATTTGTTAATTTAGATCTATAGGAAACGTGAAAGAAAGTTGACAACTTTCGAAATTTCAATTAATAAATCCTAAGGAAGGTCCCACTATCAGCTATTATTATAAATCAAAAATAAAATGTTTCGTGGCTTCGTGTTATCAAAAAAGGCTGTATGGAAAAAATGGATGATGAGACCACCCTGAAAGCTTTACAAATTATAAATGATTACTTGGATCCGTGCAAACATTTCAATAATTCCTTTAGAAACAGTAGCACGCGTACTGGGATTTAAGTCGCTGGCCCACCAATATACAAAAGGTGCAAAACTTCCATCTTTTCTCAGTGGCAATGTGCATAAGGATTCATTCTCGGTCAGACAATAAAATCACAAAGTCATGGACATGGGAGAGCATGAAATGTCTCCTCGGAGAGCGAGCAAATTGGGTCTCGCCAGAGCACCGCTTACGTGCTCAGAATGTTTTCACTGATGCACATGCACAATTGCAACGCAACAAAATAAACGGACAGTAACTGCTCTTTGACATGGTAATAACGCATCTCCAAGGCAAATGTAACTGGACAAATCAATGGATGTGTTACACGTACACCGGTTTTTTAATAATTTATAGCGAATGCATTAGTAAAAAAATTGTGTTTGAGCCCTATCACAATTACGGTGTTTAACACGATACCAGGCAATAGCTAGTTAATAAAGTAATGTCATGTTGCTTAAGTGTTGAGACATGGCTCTCTCTTATTGAAATTTTATATTATGCATAATTCCAACTAACCCCCATTTACATCTAAAATCCCTCTAATATATGTGTAATGATCAGGGGAAAATTTCATTTTCATTCAATATCATTCGATATTGTATACTGTATATTATATCGATAACTGTATCGAATACATACATCGTATTCCTTCGATCCTGTATCACTTCGAAACTCTTGATATGCTTATCCTCTAACGTTTCACTTACATCAACTAACTCCCCTTTCATCATAACTACTCCAAATATATTTCTCTTGTATGTCACCGTATTGGTGCCTTCACTATCAATGTACGATTTTATCACTACTTTCTTCATCACCGCAGTTTTCTAATCTTTTATTTTCATCCCCACATATTAATACGCAAAAAATACTCGTTTTTAAAAAAACATTTACCTCACCTACTTTGAAGAGCTAATTTTGTACAACAAATTTTGTTTGATTCAAAAATCTCTATCTCCAATTTTGAAGCTTTATTTTTTTTATTTTCCCAAAATCGGGATGTTAGTAAAAATGAGACCTGTACCATTCTCTTAAACGTCTTTTGCACTAGTCTTTTCCCACTCCACTTTCCCTATTGGGGCCTGGCAATACAGTTTTTGTGTGGAAAATTCGCCTTTTTCCGGCACACAATTAGAATACTTTCTTTTCTTACGTCAAAGAGAAGATAAAAATAAAGGGAAATAACAATCAAGCCCTTTTACTTCCAACACTCCATCTCCATTTACTTGGACTTCCATTCTTTTACATTGTCACCTGCCAACAATATCTTCCAGGTTTCTCCCTTCCAAAACAACTCAATCTGAGTCACCACACGTCTCCTACTTCTATCATGAAACTGATTTTTTCTTTACAGCACCTCCGTTCACAGTTTTACGCCCATATCAATATCCACCACCCGTTTCCCATCAAGATAATGATATGAAATGTACTGCTTTCTCCTTGGATTCACTGCCCCTTAAATAATTGCTTCTTGCCCACAAAGACAGCAAAATATTTTTTTTCTTTAAATCCACCATCTTTACCCCTAACCATTTCGCCTGCCCCATGTCAAAATGCAGATAAGGGAAAAAAACATAAGAAAAGAAAATCTAAGAAAAGTTAGTTGCAAATTTTTTCTTGACATCAAGTGTATGGATACTGAGTTTAAATCTAGAAAAATATTTAAACCGACTACAGATATACACACATAAGACTGTTTTAAAGATGCACATTTACAAAACACAGTTTATGCAACAGTGCAATACTATGCACTAAAAATGCTATCCACTTTGTTTTGGCATGGAGCAGATATTATTTTCGGCAATCCTTTCTCTATCATATACATTGCGATCGCACCATCTGTACTTTAATATCTAGTAATCCACTAGCAACCATTCCTTTCCACAGGCATCCTTTCATTCTGACTCGCGTCCTGACTGCATCGACTTTCCAGCCCAACATTTCATCTCTAACTCACCACTGCGGCTAAAAACGCCACGAAGATTGTAAAAATAAACCAAATTCTTCCATCAACTCTGCTCGCGTCTCTTCACATTCATCCCCATCGCCCCGGTCGCCTCTCCTTTCACCACTTTCACCTCCAACTCACCGCTGCCTCAATCATTCGCGCTGTGAACGAATATCGTGAAAATAGACCGCGCACCACCTCAGCGGGAAATAGAATTGCTCCGGCACTTCGCGCGAGGCGCCACTGCATGCTCGGAAGCCACGCCCAGTCTCGCCCCGCCACGCCCCTCCCC